ACCTCATCTTCAGACTCACATCTTTGTTATTTACATATATCCAGTCTCATCGTCCAGCCCCTCTATTGAATCTTCCAGTTCAAGAATATTTCTAATGTCTGCATTTTTTTCCATAACTGCTTGTTCTTGCTTTTGGTCTCCCGGTATCTTTCCTTATCTGAGGATACTTACTATGCTCATTTTAATTTCTTGTCCTATTTCTTTTGCTTGAAATTGTTCAGTTTGTTGCCTTTTTCTTTCATAATGCTAGGATTCCTCCTCCATCTCATTAACTTTACCTGTGGACTCATACATATGTCCTTAGGGTTTTCATCTGGCTGGGTTTGTATAGAATACCTGGGGCAGGGGTTGAGGACGGGTATCACTCCTGGAGAGTCTGGGGGAAGATGGGTAGAGATGCACCAAGCTGGGGAACCTCTGAGGTTGCAAACTGGGCGCCCCCCCACCCCCCAACCTCAACCAGGAGGCCCCGCCCTTCCAGATGACTTCCAAGTATACTCTCTCCTTAGCAGGATAGAACTATTTAGTCCCCAGAGGCAGGGGAGGTAAAAGGGGGATGAGGGAAATTTCCAAGCTTGGACAACCCGTTTGCATGTGTTGGTGTCATCTCCATACCCCCACAGGGCTCTAGTGCTGCCTTGACATTACCCAGCAGCCTTGCCAGTGGGCACTTCACTGGTAATGAGGTTTTCTAGCTCTCTGGTAGTCATGAGAGAGGCAGAGGTCTGCAGAAAATAACGGGGTGGGGGAGAAATGGGTCCCAACTGGAAAGCTCACCACTACCAGTCTGTTACTGCCTGTCAGGTCTTCCTTTCCCTCCATCTCCCAACCTTCCTCCTGTCCTTACCCATGTAAAACTGCCTCCCTATTTTTTCTGAAAGTACACACTTTGAGCTTTTAAGAGATGCCTTCTTATTTTTATAATTTGCTGAGATTTTCTATTTACTTCATTCCTACCCTTCATGATTTATTTTAACTTGTGGTCACATTCAACCCTTAAGCTTCTTTATATTCTGAAGAGTTTGAAGTTATTTTGTCTATCCTTAAATCAAATACCGGATTCCAAATGCCTTTATTTGTCCCTTTCTGAATCCTTTGTGGCTTTTTCTTTCTTCAGAGGTATAACAACCCAATCAGAGCTGTAGAGTGCACCATTACTTCTGGAAAATGGGAAGACAGTTAAGGATAGATCCCGAAGATACAATGCTGAATGAGTGAGTGAACAAAAACAAGCTGCAGTCCTACATGCATTTCGGAGGCCATCTGTGTTTTTCTAAATGCTCTGTATTGTAAGGGTCTGGAAAGAGTCATGCTGCACTCATAACCAGGGTGATAGCAACCCAGTGGAGGAGGAACTCTAGGACTGTTCAGTCACCCCTACCTCGGGTTTCCTTTTTAGAATTTCCCCCCAAACCTTTCCTGAAATATGTAGTTTAAGGGATGGACTTCAGGACAGTCCATGAGCTCCCCGAAAATGTAAGCCAAGCTTTGTGAATAGGAGCAAGTATCTACTTTTCTAGAGAAAGGGTCTATACTTTTCACCAGAACTTGAAAGGGAACAGAAGACCCAAGAGGGGGAATAACCATTTGTCAGGAGTGTTGTGCCACTTTCCACCCCAATTTCTCATGGTTTCATTTAAGTAGTACGCCAGTAACTGAAAAACATGTATCGGTATTGTTTATAATGTTATAAAATGTTGTTATAAAAAAAAGCATATAACTTTTACTTTACCATGAAGACTAACACAGAAATCAAGTGTTACCATGTAGTACTGTGCTGTTCCCATGAATATACTTAAATATATTTAGTTCTTTCCTAAAATAGATGTCTAGGCCCTTGTGGCAGTCGATCCAAGAGGACCCGGCTACGATAAAGGAATGTCCAGAATGTATTTTCTACAGCTTCCATTTGCTTCATTTTGTATAACCCCCTCTGTAGTGTTAAGGAAGCAATAAGAGGTAGCTCAGGTCTTTTGTTCAGCACCACTGATGTGTCACGTAGCCTGACAGTAAAGGTCATGGGCTTGGGAGCAGATCACTAATTCCTCTGGATTCCTAAGGAACATTTCTTCACCTTACCTCACCTATAGAATGGAGTAATAGTATCTAGCCATGGTAGTTACTGCTGGTTATCTCCCAGTACCCTCTTTCTCCTCCTGTCTAGGTATAGGAATCCCAGTTTCTTAGCTGAACACATTGCTGCTCAGAGAACAGACCACATTTCCCAGTGCCCCTGGCAGCCATACACTACATTCTGGTCAATGAGATAAAAGTAGAAGCCCTGGTACTTCTGGGACGCTTCTTTAAAAGGAAAGGGGCAGACTTCAGGTTTCCCTGGTCTGCCTGTAAAGTGTTTGGAAGTTGCTACTCTGTCCTAACAATAAATAAAAAGCTGAACAGACAACTCTTCTTGGATCCATAGGAGAGAGGAATACACAGGGCAGACTGCTGTGCCCAAAACTGTAGATAAGACAGGCAAATACAGGGAGTTATGGCTTCCTAAAGCAGAGACTCAAGTAGAAACCACCCTGGGAATCAGTGCAGGGTAAGAAAACCTGAGCCGTAACTGACAAATTGCTGGAGGCTCAATGTGGACAAGTCTGACAGAAACTCTGGGGAGACTCAGTCACAGGGGACCCCCCACCCCCAACATCTGTTTCACCTCCTGAAGCTCTACCAGGTTCCCACAGTAAATGACAAAGAAAAATCCCCTACTGAAGGCAGGAGGGGAAAAGGAACCATTTTGAAATACACCAGATGCCTCAGTCCTAACAAGGCCTGCTCTGAGGGGAAACTAGTTACCAGAACCTACCTGATCTGGGGAAAGAAGACCCTCACCTCCAGCCTACTCCAGCTATGCTGTCCCACTGAAGGGCAGAGGTTGGGGAGGGAAGGACGACGGCGGCGGCGGGGGGGGGGGGGCGGGGTGCAGCCTGTTTCAGAGAAACACTTGTGAAGTTCACAGTCAAGAGGCAGATTCAGTAAAAATGAGACCAAATCGCAGGACTATAGAATGGTCTTCCCCTCACCCCAACCTCACCACATCACTAAAGGCCTAATTACTGCTGTTCCTTTCACCCAATGCATCATGTCCAGTTATCAAGAAAAAATTGGAAAGCATACTAAAAGACAAAACAAGACCCACAGAAATGAAGAATGCCTTTGATGTGCTTATTAGTAGATCGGGCACAGAGGAGAAAGGAATCTCTGAACTAGAGGATATGTCAACAGAAACCTCAAAAGCAAAAAGCAAAGACAATGAAGACTGAAAAAAACCCAGACTACCCAACCAATGTAGGACAACTACAAAAGGTGTAACATACACGAAATGGTAATACTAGAAGAAAGGAACAGAAGAAATATTTGAAACTATTACTGAGAATTTAACCAAATTATTGTCAGATACCAAACCACAGACCCAGAAAACTCAAAGAACACCAAGAGGGATAAACGCAGAACAGAACAAAACACTACACCTAGGTCTATCATTTTCAAATTATAGAAAATCGAGGATTAAAAAAAAAATTCTAAAAGAAGAGGGAAAAAACATCTTACCTAGAGAAGAACAAAGATAAGAATTAGTGACTTTTCTTCAGAGGAGGGAACTACAGGAGACTATAGAATGGACAGTTGGGGGTGCCCAAGGGGAGAGAGAACAGGTGAATTTGTAGGGACGCAGGGTAGAAACTAGTTTTCCTATACTGTTTATGGACAGGGTTGTGTCCACTTGAAAATAAACAAAACTTTTTCCAGTCTATTAACATACATCTCTAAGCTCTTCGTCAATGTATACTTTATTCTTCCTGCCATATTATTGCTTTTAAATGAAAATGCTTATATGTATATGCTCAGATTAAGTATGAAAAATGTTTTCTAATTTTGCAATGGAATACATCCGTATTTCAGGAGGGGCTTTATGTCAAAATGTTTTCCTCTGTGGTATGAGGAAGAATAGAAAGACCCAGAAAATCTATGTGTAAAGGCAGAGGTTAAAGTTTAAGGGACTCTTAAAAATGGGGGCTCATCTCAGGTTATAATGAACCAACATAGAAGTTTGCCTGATGAATTGTAAAACATTTTTAGATATTGGTTCACATACTGAACAAACGTGTATTCAACACCTATTAGAGATCAGGGATGATGCCAATCCATATAAGGTACATCCTAAACAGTCCCTGTCCTCAAAGAACTCAGTCTAAACTGGTGGTGGTGGCAAATTTATATAAACAATGACAGATTGACATTAACAAACATTAGGGAAAAACCATAAGACCTCACTACTCAAAGTATGGGTTGAGGACCAGAAGCATCTGAATCACCTGGGGGCATCTGAGACCTCACCCCCTAAACCCCTGAATTTGCATTTTAACAAGATCCTCAGGTGATCTGGATGCTTATTAATGATTTGAGAAGTGATGAAATGTGGGATTAAAGAAGAAACCACTAATGATCCCTGGGGAAGTGGTCAGAGGTTTTTCAGGATGGAAGGGTAATAGAAACATTCCAGTTTGAGAAACTAACAGGTCAATAATTATGGCGGTTAGAGTTAAGGAAGGTTCTAGAATGAGAAGTTCAGTCTGGAAGGAAATTGGGCACTATGGAAGATATGGGAGGCAGGGCAGAAAAGGTAGGCTGAGAGGCCAGAGGCAGAAGGAAGGGCCAGAATGACCTGCTGAGGAAGTCTTGGAAAATTTTAAGCAGGAAAGCGACAAGATCAGATTCTTATGTTTGGATAGAACACTAGTGGCAGGGTGGAGGATGAGATGCAGAAGAGAAGCTAGAGGAGGCGGGCCTGTATCCTTAAATGAACACGATTCTATTTGGGCCTAGACTGGAAGTCTTTGAAGTTTTTTTTTTTGTTTTTTGTTTTTTTTAGAGTTCATTTATTTATTTTGAGAGAGAGAGAACACAAGCAGGGGAGGGGCAGAGAGAGAGAGAGAGAGAGAGAGAGAGAGAGAGAGAGAGAATCCCCAGCAGACTCTGCAAGAGTTCGAACTCACAAACCGTGAGATCATGATCTGCCCTGAAACCCAGAGCTTAGCTGACTCAGCCATCCAGCAGGAGTTCCTCTTTGAAGACTTTACAGGTGGAGGGGCCGCTGAGTCCCAGGCAGAGAAACAAAGGGTTCCAGCTGCAGTGTGATACAGGTGGGTTCATTCTTCTCAAAGCGTGGTGCCCAACCAGCCGCATTAGCATCACCTGGAAATTGTGAGAAATGCAAATTATTGCGTCTTCACTCGGATACAGTCTCAGAAACTCTGGGGACGGGAAACACAAATCTGACCTTAACAAGTTCTGTTTCAAGTTGAGGCCACTGCTCTGGCCTGCAGAAGTCTTATATCAGGTGGTAAAGGCTTAGAATTGTCCCAACTCTTCTGGAAAAGAAAAGAACAACAACAAAAAACAGGACGAGGTAATGAGAAATAAGTTTCTAAGTTGAGTGGGCAGAACAAAAGTCACACAACAGTCTAGACTTCATACAGTGACCAGAAAAGACAAAAAACAACAACAAAAAAGTCTTGTCCCAAAGCCTCACATTTGGAGAATTAAAATAATTTTGGTAGAGGCCGTGATGTTCTCCGTAGGCTAAATTAAGTAAAACTTAAAGTAATCATCCCACTTGTAAATTCTTTCTGCTCCCTTTACTCTCCACAAAAACACCCTCAGGAAAAACACTGGGATTCCTTCAGGCTGTCTCAAAACTGTGTTTGTGATGTAACCACCCATTAAAAAAAAAAAACCCAACCCCAAATTAAAAGCCCCCAAAACAGAGCGGCGGGGCTGGCGCCATAGTCCCAGTAAACTCTGCCGTTTCCCAGCCACACCCCTGCGGACCGCCGGGCCTCCTTCCCGGGGCAGTTCCCAAAGATAAACAAATCACTCCTTGTTTTTTTCCAGACCTGAAATTAGCGGTGACTCACAGAGCACTCTGAATGGCCACAGTCGCCTCGGGAAGAGGGAAGAATGTGCAGATTTTTCCCTCACGCGAGGGCCCGACGGTGCCGGGCTGGGCCAATCAGGGGAGGACGGCGGGAATCGCACCAAAGTAGGTAAAAAAATGCGGGACGCGTTTTCGGCGCTGCAGCCCGCTCCTCGGCTCCCCCGGGTCCTCCCTCTGGACTGCTGCTCGGGGAAAGCCGCCCACCGTCGTTCTCCTCACGCCCCAGTCAACCTCACTCTACCTCGCCCTCCCTCCTGCCTCGTCTCTCCTCCCTCCTCCTCCTTCCGCGTCCTCCCAGGCCCCGCCTCCAGCGGCGGCGCACACCTGGCCAGGTGGATACTTCCATGTTAGGGCAACAGCAGCGCAGTGGGCGGGGCGCCACGTGACCCTTCCCCCTCCCCACCCCCTCGCCGGCAGAGCTGGGGATAGGGCCCCCTGCCCCGTTTGATCCTTTGCCCTCCCCTCGCCCGCAGGTACCAGCCCGAGCCGGGCCTCCTCGTCGCTAGTAGATGAGGAAGGCCCCACCCCACGCAGCCGTGCTGGTGAGAGCAGGACCGCGTCCCCCAGCCTCCGGAAGGTGAGGCGGCATCCTCAGCCCGCCCTCTGGGCGGGGCGCTGCCTGGCTAGCCGGTTGCGCAGCAACGACGGGCCCCGCTTGGCGTGCGCAGCCTCGTTTGGGCCCGAGGCGCGCGCTCGCGCACCCACCCCCTGGTAGGCTCGCGCCTAGCGTAGGCTGCTTGCTGGGTTGCTCCTTCCTTCTGCGGCGAGGAGGACAGTACGCAGACTCGGCGCCGACCGGCTACCCTTCTAGCGTCTCTGCGACCGCTGCGGCGAAGATGGTGAGTGGGAGGGAGCCCGAGGCGTGGGCTGACGGGGCCGGGGCGCTGGGGCACCGCGGGGGTCGGGGCGGAGGGGCGACAGGCGCGCCCACGCCCGGGGAGGGACGCGGGGCCTTGCTGCAGTCCCCAGGCGGGGGAGGGTCTCCGGGCTTCGCCGCCCGCGGACCCGCCGGGACTCGCGCGCCTGGGGGCGCCTCGGGGCGGCTCCTGGCCGCTGCGTCGGTCGCTGCTGCTGCGAGGCCGCCGCCGGCAGCTTCGTCCCCGCGGTTCCTCCGGCCCCGGCCTGGGGACGACCTGCCAGGGTCGAGCAGCGCCACCCCCTCGCTGAAATCGACCGGGAGTCCGCCTTCCCGGGGTGGGGGGCGTCGGAATCCGGCCTGGGCCTTGTTGGCGCAGGTTTCCACAAAGCCGGGCACCGAGGTGGTCAGTGACTCGTGCGAGTTTCGGCCCCTGAGGTCTGTCCATCTCATTAAAGAAAATAAGGCCTTTATTGAACAACCCTAGAGGGCGGAATGATTATCACGAGTATGACCCTGGTATGATTAAGAACAGGGTGGCCTCGCAGCCGCTTTGTTCGTCGTATCTGGCAATCAGCTTCCAGCAGCACTCTTGTAGTGCTTGTCAAGCTTGGCAGTGGCTCTTTTAACCCTTCCCTACCTAGTCTCTCCATGCATGGTTAGAAATTTTCTTTTACCTGTGAACAGTTTGTCTCTGCCAGAACCTAGCGTGTGAGGAGTGATAGTGCTGGGATGCTAATAAAAGCGAATGAAAAAGGTTTTTAAAAGCCCATCAGATTATCCTGTCACTAAAAAGTGAACATGCCCCTTATATTCTAGGTGATGGACAGACACTTGGCTTAATTTACGTATTTCCCTCTATAAACTGTCTCTAGTTTGCAGTACAACAGTATTCTTAATTGGACGATCGAGTAGAACATTTTGTCATTTTCTTTAGTCTGCACTGGCTGTTACCATTTTTGGTCAATGATTTGCAGGCAAAGGCTTACCAGACTTTGCTAGAAATATTACACTGTTACTGCATCTGTCTGCCTGGGAGCAGTTGGTACCAGTTTACTGCATACAGAATGTTTTTTGCTGAATAACAATTTTGCTGAATAACTTAATTTTTACTTAAGGTAGTGCAAGGAAGAAAAAGATTAGTAGTTTCTTGATGAGTAAGGAGATGTAGGAATTTGATATTGTTCAGTTTTCAGTTCTTCTTTGGTTTAAATCTGTAAGCTTAGAGAGGAGAAGCACCTTAAGACTTTTTTAAACCTCTATAAGATTATACATGTATATACTACTTTATACTAAAAGACTTTAAGGGTTTTGAATTATAAAATTAAGACCATCCACTCTGATAAAAGTGCTTTGAAGTGGGTTGGAGCCTGCTTTAAGTTATGATTTGACATTCTTTTTTGAGTTTCATTAATACAAATTTTATTTTCTATTTGAAAACAGGACCAAGTGTTTTAGCTTTAAGTTTTAGTTCAAGCCATCCATATTTCTATGCATTAAAATATTTTGTTTACTGGTTCTTGGGGAGGAGGAGGAATAAAAATTAATCAAGATGAGTGGATTCCAGATACATTTCAAACTTGTTGGCCTTAGGGAGATCAAGACGACCTTACAAGCTCTTGTTGTTTGGATGCTTGCAAATAGGGTTCAGAAAATATAGACTGACCTTTTGTAAAGATTACTCTTGTATTTAGCCTTATAAGCACAGAGCATATTGTGAAGATTGGAAGTTCTTGTATTATCCCAGATTTTAGCACTTTGCCTCTATATTTGAAACTGAGGTTCCAAGTTTCTAAGGTTTTTTGGTTTGTTAAGATTAAATTTTAGCTGTTGATGGGTTTGTTCTGCATTAACAAAATCACTTCCTGGTACTCAAGCCTTCTGGAAGCACTTGGGAATAAAAGCAATTTGAAACCAACTCAAAAGATCACCTTGGGCACTTTAAGATGAGATTTCATGTTTTCAGAATCTCACTTTACAGTGCCAAAAAAAAAAAAAAAAAGCCTATCCTCCACAGGAACCACACAAAACTTTGATGTGTGTACTTGGTGTGCCACCTTCCTCTTGGAAAGCTTATTTACTAGTCTACCGTCAAGTTCCTAGGGTTATCTGCTTAGTAGTTCTATCTGTTGGGTGTGGATCAAGATCTTACATGTTGACTTGCCTAGTGCCTCTTGTAACCAATGGTGTATGACATTTATGGCATAGCTGTATAGCTTTCTGGGAAGTAGGAGTGTAATCTTGCCCCTGAAACAATAAAAGTCTACATGATAATCTAACCTTGCCCTAGTCAGAGCTCTGCTATAACAAGCTGAGCTAATTGGCTCAGAATACGTTACAAATGTATCCTGCCACTTGATGATTAGGAAAAACACTTTTACTTACAGCAGTGTAATGAAATAGGTTGGGCATGTGTTCGTGTGCCTATTTGACATGAAAAGACAGACTGTAAAGGGTTTACTTGTGACCTTCTTTGACTCCACATCAAGGTTTAACATAATTTACAAATTAATTTTGAAACATTTTAAGCAGAAAGTACACATAATAACCGGTCTCTTTGTACAAAAAAGAAAAGATTAACTTTTTGCCACATTGCAGGTTTCTATGTTACCATTACAGTTAAATATCTTCTTCCTCAACCCATTCTCTTCCTTCCCCAGAGATAACCACTCCTGTGTCAAAGACATAATGTGCTGGCCAATTAAGGAGATGATTTTTTCAGGCTATTGCAATTAGGAGACCATTAATTAATGAGGAATGCCTCAAAAAAAAAAAAAAAAAAGGACAAGGACCTGGGACAGGTAAAACAGAGTCTTGAGGAACCATGAGGACAGGTCTTAATCTCAGCAAGCAATGGCAGGATCTTTATGTTACCAGCTTCCCCAAACACAAAATGATGGGGGTGGATTTCTTAACCTGCTCTGCTTTCCAGGAGCACAGGGCTCAGGTAAAGTTTAACATAGTCAGCTGAAATTAATATATTTCTTTCTCCTTGGTATTTCCATACTTTTAGCTATACATATGTGCATCTGTAGTAATATATATCATTTTGATGTATTTTTAACTTTCATGTAAGTGCTATGGTTTAGGTATCCTTTCGCAACTTAAAAAGAAATTAAACTTGGTGAGTTTTCGGGGAGGGGTTTGATTTTTGGTTTTAGCTGTAGCTGTGGTTCTTTATATTAACTGTTGAATAGTTTCCGTTTTTATGACTGTATATGTTTATTCATTGCCCTATTGATGAACATTTCCTCAAGTTTCCATTCTTTTATCTCTTTTTGTCTACTTAAACAGTTTTGCAGTAGACGGTTTCCATGTTTTATGTTACTTCTGTAGCCCCAGTGAGTGTGTTCTCAGTATAGATCTAGAAGTGGAAGTCCTGGATTAGAGGGTATGTGTATGCCTTTTTTGTTCTACTACAGGTGGTTCTAGTTTGCATCCCATTAGCTACATTTGTCTGTTTTCTCCATTTCTTTTCACCACTTGGTGTTATGAGACTTAAAACCTTTGCCAGTCTGATGGGTGTGAAATGACTTCTTATTCTTTTAGCCTGCATTTCTGTGATTAGTAGTAAAATATCTTTATGTTTGTCGCAGCCAGTGTTTTTACATGCATGCCCTTCTGGTGAACCTGACGTTATGTAAATACTCATCACATCTTCATCTAGGCTTATTTGTGGAGCCTAGCATTAAATCTAGCATTAAAAGAAAATACACAAGGGTCCCCTAGGTGGCTCAGTCAGGCATCTGACTCTTGATTTCGGCTCAGGTCATGATCTCATCGTTTGTGGGTTTGAGCCCTGTGTTGGGCTCTGTGCTGACAGCACAGAGCCTGCTTGGGATTCTCTCTGTCCCTTGCTCTCTGCCCCTCTCCCGCTTGCATACTCTCTCAAAAATAAACGTTTAAGGAAAAAAAATCTACAAGAACATGATTGTCAATGTCAGAACTGCATATTGAAGACTAATATCCTTCTATGGCACCTACGTTTCTTTGCATGCCTCTGTAGCTGCTAAGTAACAGAATAAAGACCCTTAGTTCTAGTCACCTGCCATTGTCAGGCCCTGGTAGTGGTAGAATGCAAAGTGATTCAGGGTAGAGTTCCATCTTTGCCAGCGGCCCTGGTGATTAACATCCTCTGCTTTATACTTATCTCTTTCTTTTTCTTGGGTAATTCATCCAGCCAAAATGTTAAAACCAAACAAGCACTAGGGATATATGGGAAAACTCTGTGCTTGCCACTCAATGTTGCTGTGCACTCAAAATGTCCCTAAAAATAGTCTATTAAGGAAGCAAAACAAAACAAATAATTGACTGTATTTCACCAATGGAATTGGTTTAAATCAAGAGGTGTTTAACTTCCTATCCAGGAAGACTCCAAACATT